ACTTTTAACTAAGAAAAGTCACAGAAATGATGGAACCTTAGGAATGGTAGTAAAGCTGCAGTAATCTCTCTAGATTTCTAACAAACACCTTTCAGTCCTGTTAATTTTTACACCTGCTGGCTCATGTAGCATATGTGGATATTTTTGCAGTAACCGTTCAGTATTATTTAGCAGTCTTTCTGTTGACCAAGGTAATTCATTTCTGACCCAACTTTGCAAGTGGTAAAACTTCGTTAAATTTAATATTTTAAAATAATTCCCTTCATTTGATTGTAGAGATGGATTTCAACTGTTTGTATGTCAATCCTCAAGCATACTGTAGTAACAGGCCCGAGTTCAGTAAAGGAGGCTAGTGTTTGCTTGGCACTACATGTCTCCTTGGCTTTTGTTTGGAAACAAGCTGCAATTAAGGGAACTGTGGAGACTATAGGAGGGATCGGTTGACCTTACGGAAACAATCCTAAGATTTCTAATGTGATCTCTATCACGTATCCCAGCGAGCACCCATTCCTAGCCACCCAGTAGGACCAGCTGGGAGGGAAATCCCAGCCTCTATGGTCTGGCTCCCCAGGGCGTTTTAAGTTTTTGGAACCTGAACAGATTCCAGATGTTGCCCCAATCTCTAAGCACACCCACAAGGCACAGACCTTCTATTTGGCAATCCCTCTGAGTATTGAAACCTGCTGTCTAGCTGCTTAGCTCCTCTGAGTGCAGCACTGACCTTTCAGACTCCTGATACTTAAACATCTCCCTTTTCCAGAACTCCACCCCCAATGGTATGAAGCTACTGATTAGAGTTTTCCTCTCTCGGGGTCACCACACAGTTCTGAAAACTGTCAACCCACATGCACCTTGCACAGTCTAATGCCTTTATGCTCTACTGTGCTGAATCAGAAGAGCACTAATTATACAAAACAATAAAACACTAAATGCCTCAGTTTCCTCATCAAGGATTTTTTTTTAGCAGAAGTGTTGATAGGCTTGTGAAGCGGGGATGAGGTGCAGCATGGAACCGATTGACATTTTCAGTGGGGAAAGGTATTCTGTCCAAAGAATGTTGCTGGCTAACACAGGACTTTTTTGAGGGGGCCCTCTGTTAACATTGTGGGAACACATCACTGATCTTAAAAATTCTGTTTCTTTTTCTAAAACCAGGATACACAGAAGGGGTTTTCCTCCACTATGGGCTTTAAAATCATTTTTTGGCCATTTGAGGCATACTCTGACACATTCCTTTTCAGCTGTGTCACAGAAATCCAAAATTAGATTATTTGCAACTTGGTGTTAATGATTACAGCTCATCTGCAACTGTCACAAGCTCGGTACATATTTTTTCCTGGAGTGTTGCTTAAGCTGACAACCCTCCATCCTTCATTTTCAAGATACACTTACGTGTTGCTTTATCTGATGAACAGCCACGAATAGAACTGTGATAGGACTTTGCATAGTTACTGTTAAATAATGCACCAGCTTTCACCCTTAAGTACTCGTGCTTTGTCCCACACAGTTGTACTCTGTGCCCCATGTCCACCGCTGCTTCCATAAAAGTCAGTGACTCAAGACTATGCATCCTGTAATGTCAGAACACTTTTTTTTTAAAAGTAGCCTAAATAAAGGGCTTCCGTGATGTGATGTCAGTTCATTTCAGAAGCCACTTTAATAATAGCATGAGCAGAATCTGAAAACGATCCAAAAAGATTGACTTGAAAGAGTTTGTTTTATATCAACTATAACAGCAATTCTTTTCTCTGAGTTGACGAGCAATCTTCTTGAGTTTTATCACGCACTTTGAAATACAGATGAGTCCCCTGGCTCCCCTCTCTCTCCATCAGGCCCACTTGGTTTCTTGATTAATCCTATAGTATGTTCCTCTTTAACAAAATCAAAATTGATCCTCTTTCCTTACTATCTGTGCTGCAAAAATCTCTTGTCCCCCTGATGCTGGAACTTCTCTGGCCTCTGTTGGTCCACTATTGCTCAGGCCTGCCGACAAAGGGAGCAAAGGCGGCAAATGCCCCAGAGCAGTGTTTCTTAAACTGTGTTCCGTGGCACACGGGTGTGCTGTGAGGCAGTCGGAGGCGTGCAGCAGAGAACAGAGTTAAAAATAGCCCTCCTTAAAGAGGTAGGCGTCCTTTATAGTTTGGTGTTCCTTGGTCTTAAAAAGTTTAAGAAAAACTGCCCCAGAGCCTGGCGATTCAAAGGAATGTGGGTGACCCGAAGGGCTGACTGCCTTTGGCCCCACCCCTTCTGTGAGTGCAGAGCTGCCCCCCACATATGTTGCCCCAAGGCCATGGTGAATATCCGCCTTGCTGCTACTGCGGCAGTCCTTTACTGCTGGAAAATCAGTAAATGTAGTCAATTCAGCCTTCCCACTGGACCTTTTTTGTGATTTACCTGCCCTATGCTGCATTAAATTCAAATTCCCACTTACCTTCAAAACAGTACAGAACCTCACTCTCATCTACATCGTCTCTGGCTCATTTTCTCTCACATTCTCTTTCATTCTCTCGATTGCCCCTCTGATTTCTCTGCCTGCTCTCCTACTTCTTCCTTTTTCTCCCTTCTCATTTCCGGCTTTTGCTTTTCTTCGTGGGCAACAGGGAAAGTAGAACATCTATTCTTGTATTTTCCTGGCAGGAAAAAGGCAACTGGAAGGAAGAAAGGCTCTTTTAGGCCCCAGCAATGAGAGAAGTGGTTGTGTTGATGATGGTCTGTACTTTTTTTCTCAATTCAGTCCCTGTTCCAGGGGGATTTATGGAACATTATTACAGTTGCCACACAGAGGAGTCACACTACTGCCATGGGTGAAAGTTTGGGAAGGATATACATGGTGAAGGAGTGATTGAAAAAGCCTTTTCAGGCTGGCTAGTATCCTGAAGCCCTTAATTAGTCTGGAGGGCCTCATAGCACACTCTCTTGATGGAGGATTTGCCTACATTCAGTGCCTAGAGACGGCAGGAAATAGAAAAGAATTAAACGAATAGACTTTAAATGTGTCAGTGCAGCTTTAAGATGTCATGTTTGCTGCTGACTGGCTGTCTCACTTAGGAAGCAGTTACAGATGTTCAGGTATACTGAGGAGATTTGAAAAGAATGAAACCAATTACTTCTCTATCTATATAATTTCAAGCTTGCAGTAGCAAGTCCATCGGCCATGTTGTTCAGTGGAGCATCACTCCACATGATTCAAGATGTAAGTCACGGAGCCCTCACTCCGCTTCTTGTGGCAAAACTCCCAAAGAAGGTGGCTGGCTTTTGTCATGATGTAAAAGCAGACCACGTGAGGCCTAGAGAAGAGATTATTGTGGGCTGGCTTTTCCATTACTTCCACAGTCCTGCTAATTTCATCAGGAGTTTGGGGTATGCTAGGATTGCAGGGCCAGAATGCTATTTGTAATGTGCAGTTTTGCCAACTCTCATGGGTTAATCAGGAGAGACATGATTTCTAAGTAAAATAAAGCCTAACTCATTATCTCGTGAGAGAACTTTCAAATGTCAGGATTTTTTTTTTGTCACGTGGGGTGCTGGAACCCCCAATGTCAGCAAGAGGTAAGGCCCGAGACCACTGTAAAGGCTTAGAAACTGGGAGGGTAATACAAGGAATCCATATTTCATTAAAAAGAATCCTCATGGTTTTGGGGGGGTCTGACTCATTATTTTCCAATGGTGAAGGTTAGCAACGCTTGAGTATGTGTTAAATTTCCAGAAATACAGTTGAGTCCTAAACTTTTATCTGTGTGGCCAAAAACAGATACTTTGGCATTGAGAGAGTCTGAGAAAAAATATTTCCCAATTGTTAGGACTTAATGTAAGCATTTTTGTTTTGCTTATGGCTGGTAAAAGATGCACTGCATAACTAGTCCGTCGTAAGGCACATGATATGTATGCTGCTGATTTTGGATGCTAGTTCTTGTTTGGAATAAATAAAATCCCATTCTCAAGATTGATACAATTTGTTTATTGTACGCTCTGTGAAAAGAGTCCTCCTTTTATTTCCTAAATTACACAATGTTTTTCTTCAAGAAACTGGTTTGCTCCAGTAGTTTTTGTTGCATATTTGACAATTAAAATGCTGGCTGATCATTGAATTGTTTTTTTTAACCTTGTGATAGAATGGGCAAAGAGCATTTATATTACTTTGAGCAAAATCATTTTAAGAGAACAAAAGTCTGATGTAGATTTGAACAATTAAGACCGAGTGATGTTATAATTGACACTTTTCTGTTGCAATTGTTTTATTAGTTTTATATCAAATAATAGAATGATAAAAAGCAGATATGTTCTTTTCTATGGCTAAGGACTCATTTGAATGTGTGAGCAGTTCCAGTTAACAGTATCAAATTAAGACAAAACAGTTTAAAGTTCATAATGATAACTCAGTCAAAGAAAGGTAAGAGGTTTTTATTGGAGTTGATCCATGAAACTAAAGTTAACAAAAAAAATTAACAGATATTTTCAATACATACTGTTGGCTCTTAATTAAATCAACTCTGTGAGACTCTTTCAGTCCCTTCAGCAAGAATTGTACTAGTTTACATGGCAAAATATTTACACAAATACACCTTAAATGTGACTTTCTTTATGACAGTAAAGTATTTGAATAAATGGGCTTCACACCATATATGATACAATGGATGGGTTTGTATACCAAATAAAAGACTAAGCCTAAATAATGTTAGGAACTTTGTGGAGAAGTTGTCCCTTAAAGATATGGTCTAAAGGCCATACAAGACGTATTTGTAGAGCGAGGCCTTAACTAGATCGACAACATAAGCAAAAATAGTGCAATATTCAACAGCTGGTTACGTATCAATATCTATGTATTTTCTGCAGTGCACATGGTTTGTTGGTTCCCCAATTATTGTTGATTCTGTTTTATTCAGAGTTATGTCCATTTTCAACTATCTGACCTATGTCCCTAAAATGTATGCAAGTTTTTTGAGTCTTGTCTAACACAGCTATCAAGTGTTTACAGAATATTACCTTTCATCTTTTGGCAGGCAAAAACTGGGATTTGACTGCTGCTCTGAGTGACTATGAGCAGCTCCGACAGGTGCACACAGCCAATCTGCCCCAGGTGTTTAATGAAGGGAAGTACTATAAGCAGCAGGAAAGAGACTCACCCCAACAGGTGAACAAGACTGAACGACCAAGTCTGCAGAGACAGGATGAAATTGCTCAAGGTAAATGCAGCTATTTGACAGCATTTGTGGACAAATAGCTTTTTGGCTAATCAAAGAATAAGAAGTACATTATCTGCCACCAGATACATTGTGTCATTGTTAGTAAGTTTATGGAAATGCGGGTGGAAAATCTATTCCATGATTTTCAGTCCTGTTGATTTTTGCCTACACCCAGCAGATTTTAAGGTGAAATTGAAGCAGTAGGATTTACATTTTTTAGACAGAGTGCTATGTTAACTATGAGAGGAGTGATGAAACTGCAAACTGTTCCCATTTTTAATGTCCCATGATTTAAGAGTCCAGGGAAAATTTCATCTTGTCAGTCATTGACTTCCTGATCATTATTAAATAATAAAGATGGCCTTGAAAGAGACATCTTTGAAGTAAATTTGTCATGGTATTTTCTTATTCTCTTGATTCCACCCCCACAAAACAGTAATCTTGAAATACTAATTCAGTCAAAGGAGAGAAAAAAGAAAGACAAGGGAACAATTTTTAGTTATAGGAGTTGGTTTCAACTACATGGTTTTAAGCATTAGGTTTTATTTTTTTATAGTCAAATAGCTTTCTCTCTGACTATTGTAACCTGTTTCTTCTGCTTTACTTCAGCAAAGAGTAGAGCCTACGTTAAGTTTAATCCCTAGTATGCCAACTTCTCACATTTAAAACAAAAAAAAGTATTTAGCGACCAGGCAGGAACTTCTTTCTTGTCATGATAGCTATTTAAACTTGAGTCCTGTTAGTTGAGGATCTGGTTACAGTGGTGATGCGTTCCTATGTGTGAGGAGTGTTGGATGAGGAAAATAATTTTTTTGATGTTTCTCAACAATTTGTCCCTGATACCACAGGAAAAAAGATTAGAGAACAAGAATGTGGTTTTAAAAAGCTATGACTTAAGTAACAGTGAGCTGCCCCATACAGGCTATCCTTTGTTTGTAATTCATTCCATCTGGTGGAGACCTGCTGTTAGTCCCTACCCTTCTTTGGCGGGGGGGGTTTATGACCCTATTGCCTTCTTTTCATACAAGGGTTAAAGAGAAGGAAAAACGTGGTTCTCTTTTCCCTGTTCCAGGTGATAGAAGCCCCAATCCCATTACCTACCTTCTCTAGGAAATACTTTCTCCTAATCTGCTTCCAGTTCTGGTTTATCAGTGAACTAGACCCTTTATTGGATGACTAAGTGCACTGGTTGTCTGCCAAGTTGCAACAAATGGGATTTTACAATCTAACCTACCTGCTGGGTGCTTTGGGCCACCAACAGAACCCTGAAAAGTCCCACTTTGCCCAGTCTATTCTGGCAATGACAGAAAAATTCCTTCTGAGCCCCAAAAGTACCTAGCATGCACCCCCAACAAGGACCAAAAAACCCAGCTGTCGTCTAGTTCCAAGGAAGAGGAGATTTGCTTTCAGTGCAGAATGAGCGTTTGAGCAGGGCGAAATGCTTCCAAGCCCTTGCTTGGGTACCTGGGGGCCAATAGGCGGATACTGCACCTTCTGTTCAACCAATCAGCTGTTCAACTCCAACGCTTCATTTGTAATGAAAGAGGAGCCAGAGCTCAAATGGTTAGGTGCTGGGGTTCAATGAGGTTTTTTTACTTTCATAATTGATGTAGTAAGCCAGGTGCCAGGGTTATGAGCTGCCAGACCTAGAGATGTTGGGGCTCAGCCCTGAAAGGCCCTGGTACAAATTAAACAGTGCCCATCTCCTCCAGCCCATAAAGAGGTGGGCATTGCAGCAACCCTTAAAGAAGGACAAGAGATTTTCTTTCCCCTGCTGCCTCAGGCAAATGACCCCCCAACCCCTCTGAGGTGCAGGGGTGTGGAGGGGTGGCAGCATCCCTCCTCCTCCTCCTAATTTAAGGAGGCAATTGTAGGGCCACTTTTGACAGTCTAAAGTAGAAGGGATGAGGCTGGGTCAGCCAGTCCCCGGCAATGCCCAGAGCCACCCAGCCACCCCACCCCCACTCCCAACCTCCCAAGGCAACTGCCCCCTTTGCTCCCCTCTTTGGCAGGTCTGACTGCCACTTTCGCAACACCTGAGGATTTGGGCCACTATTTAAAAAGTGATGTTGTTAAATCACTTGTTTGACACTAGAATGGTCATTTCATTTTTGCTGTAAGCAGTGAACTGCTGATACAAACAAGGTAGAGGGGAGGCAGCTTATGTGAATTGTTTTAGGGAGACACTGAGTGGTGACAAAGTTACTGTCAGGATGCCAGGACTCCCTGTAACTTTGTCACCAGTCAGTGTGCTCCTAAAGCAATTCACATAACCTGCCCTGTACTTCAGTTCCTTCATTTACAATCCATTCATACTTCATCTGCTATTCATTTATGAATAGTGCTGGCTAAAAATGGTAGGGAAAAAAGATACAAAAATGTCATGAGAATTGTTTTCTTTTTCCCCCAGCATTCAAAACCTTGCTGAAGAATGTCATTCAGACTTTAGAATTAGAAAAGCTTTGACCATCTTTTGACAATAAAAAAACCTTTTGGATGTTATGAATGTTAATTCTCTACTATCTAGAAGCATGATAAGGTGGGTGAGGTGAAATATCATGTATTTATTGGACCAACTTCTGTTGGTGAGTGAGACAAGCTTGCGAATTTACACAGAACTCTTCTTCAAGGCTATTGATATCTGCCACTGAAGATACACTGAGCTCTTCTTTAGGTCTAAGCTTGAAAGCTTCTCTCTCTCACCAGTAGAGATTAGTCCAAGAAAAGACATTCCCTCTCCCACCATGTCTCCATAGTGGTACCAAAATGGCTGCAGCAGCACTGCATATTGTATCTACAAAGTAATTTGAGTTGTGAGGATGAAAGGCAGTAGAAATGCTGCGAGGTACATCTATACAACTGTATTTATGTCAGTAGGATTTGTGTGTGCATGCCAGAAGGCAGAGTTGCCCTCGCATAATAGAGTATGTTTCTTATTTACTGAACTGTACCTTGTCATGGCCTGATTACTAAGGACCAAATTTACAAAGATTTGGGCATCTGAAGGTGCAGATAGATAACACCTAATGGGATTTACATAGCTCCTTAGCAGGTTAGATGTCCAACTCTAACTGAAAGTCAATGGGAGTTAGGAACTTAACTCACTTAGACACTTTACAAATCCACTAGGCATCAACATGCATCTTTTTGGTGCCGAAGTATCTGGCCCCAAATCACTAACTAACTAAATCTTCACAAAACTCCTGTGAAATAAATAGGTAACC